GTTCGTTGTGGAGAATGATGTTCGGTGACTTATGTTCCATTAGAGACAGCTGGCGTACACAAGCGATTATCATAATCTTACTCATTTCTGTATTCACTAGAAATATCAAGTTATTTTTGTATACTTCTTATCATCTCATTAACCTTGGTGTTTTTTTTCCCTCTTTTCTATACTTTGTAACCATAGCTTATGGTGATTACGGTGTAGCAAATGAAGCAATACCTAAACATCATGTACCATATTCATGTTGTGATTTACAAACTTATACAAGTGCACAATGTAATAATGCTTCAAAATTGACTAAAAACAAACTCATCAATTTAATGACACAATCATCATCATCATCACCTGAAATCAACAATCTTCCTTATGTTATTCCATATAATCTGGCTTATCCGGAAGGTTGTGTAAATCGATTGAAAAAATTATTTTTACCAGTAGTAATTGGTTGTTTTTGTTTTTTAATCTCAATGAATATTTTTGCAACATTTGTAAATTGTTTTTATGTACAAAAAGCTGCAGATGAAGAAGAATATGAACGAACTTGGCTTGATTCAAAAAGTTTTATCAAAGAAACTAAAGGTTAGTTATCATAAGAAAATATTAATAAGAATCATACCATTTATTATAAAGTTATGGAGATTGTTGTTTTTAATAAATCAATAAATGTCAGGTCACGATTAGAAACCGGCTGGTTATTTCGTTCTAGTATGAGACTCATCAGCAGCAGTGAGCATTCACGACCTCAGCTTTCTGGACTTGAACTCGCTGAATACGCCAATGCTTAACCTCTAGATCAATGAGCCGGTAACCAACGGTGTTAATGTCTAGCTCTGATCAATCTAGGGATTTTGAGCAACCCCACCCACCGTCTTCGGTGTGTAACTACAAACTACATCCGTCAGGGCTGAACTTCACTGGTTACGTCTTCTCACTAGAACTCCGAGGATTTCCTCACGAAGCTGGTCATCAGTGATCACATTCTGATTGTTGCTGTAACCAGTAGAGTTCAGCTATATCGAATATAAGCAAGGTAGGATCGGAAGTCAGTGGAAGATGGTCTCGCATTATGGTCAGTTGATAGACTATGAATACTTAGTCACGCCTTACCATATTGAGTTGGCTCAATCACCTTCTCCACTATGCTTCTCTTTATTGTCTATCTTCTTAAATGAACGCATGGAATAACTTCATCTAAAAAATCGTATTAGTTCGCTTAAGAATGACATACAGAAATTAGGTGAAAGATTTATTTGATAGCATTCTTAATTATCTGTCTAAAATAGGATCCAGATCATGCGCCCTAATATGCTTATCAATAAGAAAACTAACTTTTCATTCTTCAGACGTTTGTACTCTGATTACTTACTTATATTACTGATTGCTGTAGTTGTTAGAATAGGCACCGGACTCATGACGCTCGAAGAAACTTGGCTTCCATCATGAGACATCATAACTTTTGTAAATGAAGACCTTCTAACTTTTAGGGCATAGTTAAAATAGTTTGAATTATGTTTTTCTGGTTAGCGTCTTTTTAGCGAGTGAATCTTCTGCAGCAGGGGTAGATAACCCCATGCCCAACCCTCTTTTCTTATCCGGGCTTGGGACTGGTAGAAACCCGAGAGGGACTCCGGGCAAAGCTGTGTATTTTGTATACATAAATGATAATTGACGAACAAAACTGAAAGTATTTTAACTCCTATAAGTAGTCCCATCTTAACGTTATCGCATTGAGAAATTGGTAGCATATAAAGATAATTAGAAGTTGACAATCTTTTTATTTCAAGTGACTTGTCATTAAGTTTACTAGTTTTAAGTGTATCAACATGTGAATTAAATTACCTTAGGGCATTAAAAGAATAATAATCATAACAGTTATTCATTGTGTAGGGTATTTTGCTTCATTGTTACTCTGTGGTGATGGCGCTTTGTTCTCTGAGCTGAATGTTTTGGTCATGGAGCTTTGATCGTTCTTCTGAACATCATCTGTTCTGAGAACAAAATACAACACCAAAATCATCCCCCTGAACTACAAAGTTTCTTCACCATTTCAAAATATTACTTTACGATAGTATTTCCTTATTCTTTGGAATCACTTAGATTGTTTTAAATTTATTTCAATGTTAATCAATATTTTACTAGTTTTTATCTGTTTCAACATCTATTCTCTTTTCTCTTACAGAAGCATTTTGTCTTCTACCAAAAACAAGCCAAATTGAAACTACACGTAATACTTCAATGCCAAATGAAAACGATTTAAGTGTATTTCAAAGACAATTATCACGTAAACGAACTCATTCTACAATATCTGATAAGCATTAAAATTCAAATGACTTGTTAATCTTATATTCATTTTTTCCACCATTTTGGTTTCTTCTTCAAACTTTTCATGTATATTCTGTATACAATGCTTCTCCATCTTTTCCTTTCATGAAACAAATTATTTCCTAATTTAATACAGTGATTAGAACTTTGAAAAAATCGTAAATTTTAAACAATTTATGAACTTTGTAACAACAATCCTGTTCGAACAACTGTTTCATGATTACTTCATTTGTCTCAATTAATTGAGGATCTTATTAGTGTCCGTTCATTTAATTATCTTACAAAACATACACATATTTTGTCTTCAATTAACAACTCTCCTGTAAATTTTTAATTTTACGCTTAACAATAATGCATAGTCAAGATTTCTTTAATTACAAATGTACATTTAAGTCTGTTTTAAAGTGTATGTATGATATGTCGTATGCATATATATATTTTCTCCATATGGTCGGTTGATAAATAATATTTAATTTGTTGGAAATGTAGAAGGAAAACACATTCAATAGCATATTCTAATTTTATTTTGTTAATATTGATTTCAAATGTTCATTTGTTGTTATCATATGGAATGTCAATATTCAATGTTCAACTGAATAAGAATAAAATTTTATCTATTTAGTTAGTTTTTTTTTAATGTTCTGATAAAAATGACAGATGGTTAAAAAATTCATTTATTGTGAAATACTAAAAGCGATAATAATGTAGCGTCAGTCTAAACGTTTCAATATTGAGATTTGTTTGGGAAAAGACAAACTGCAGCTTCCAAATAAACATGTATGTTAAAACCAGAAAGGTAACCATCCATGTCAAGCGCCTACAGAGATTTACATTTTATGTTCATGGTAAATCTTATACCTAACTTCTTAGAGGAAAAATTTATGTTTACTTTTGCATAAGGATCCATTTACTGTGAACAAAATGCTTTTATTTGAGTTGTATTTTGTTTTGTGGATATACGATTGTAGAGATTATGTTGTTTCGTTGAAATCACTTATCGATCAATGTAAGATCAAAATCAGTAACCACATCACAGTATGAGAACCCTACGAGTTGAAATAGAACCCAGGATCTTCAGTCTCGTACGGAAAAATAGTCTATGGACAAGTGAGCCGGCATCCAAGGTGTGAGTGTCTCACTTGAATTATTGAGCGACAATATTTTATCCACTTACACCTGTTTTCATCAAATAAAGTAGGCCACTGACCAGAATTCTCCAACAAACACTGTTATGCGCCTCCTATCTAGCTCAACTGAACTGCAATTGATTCCTTTCATGTCTGTTTGCAATTAACGGCGCAGTATGTTCTTTGGCATGCCTCTTTTCCTTTGACCTTGAAGGTTTCAAATTAGGGCTTGTGTGGTGTTTGAATGAACTAGTAACTTCTTGTTGTTGTGAAATGCTTGATTTCGAATTCTAAATACAATACATTCGTTGGTGCAGATCTTTAATTCTAGATTCATATACTTCTAAGCATCACAGTGGCGTCGCGATGGAACTTGTAATGGAACAGCTAGATATTCATTCTACTTCTGAAGCTTTTGAAGATTATTTGGAAAGGTTTGAAATCTGGAGTATGACCAGGAAAGATGTCAAAGATGATAAAATTGTGGCTCATTTCCTAACATTCATCGGAAAAGAAGCGTACAGCTTATTGAAAACCTTGGCATATCCAGAAAAAACCTATTTCACTTCCCTATGCAATGCTTAAGGAGTTATTATTGAATCATGTAAAGTGCCCTGGTTTTGAATGCCGTGAAAGAGCGAAATTTCATAAGATGATTCGTCAAAATGACCAAAATGTTAAGGAATTCATTCTTGAATTGCAGAAACAGGCTGTCAAATGTAATTTCGGTGATCAACTTCATGTGCAGCTGAGAGACCGATTAATTGCAGGAATTAACATACCTAGTTTGGAAAGAGAGCTGTTAAGAATGTCAAACTGTTCCTTTCAAGATGTTAGAACTGCGTGCATTAACTACGAGGCGTTGAATGAACTTGATATTCAGTCGATGAAGATTTCCAATACATTGATTAGTTGTCATGATGAAAAGCAATCTCAGGGTCAATCAAAATTGTGTTCGTTTAACAGAGGTTCCTATTCTCGTGTAAAACTGAACGGTGTCTCAAAAAAGAATTACAAAGGAAATCAAAAAGGTGAGACCAAGTTTGGCAAATGTTTATCATGTGGAAAACTTCATTCTCGTTATTATTGTACATTTCGTAATGCTAAATGTTTTAGATGTGGTAAGATAGGACACATTCAAGCAGTATGCAAAGCTACTGTTCATTTTGCCTCAAGTAGTACTAAAGCTTGTAATTTAGATCCCAATAATTCAGCTGATCCTAATGATCATTTATCTTTAACTACCATTTCGAAAGGTAATGCTCATATTCAAAAGCGACTATATACATCACTTGGTTCATTTCATGACTTTATTGTGGACACAGGCAGTATAGAGTCCATTATTTCATTCAAGAATTTGAAATCGTTAGATCCGAACGTTGTGATACGACCCACTGATGTATCAATATTGGGGATTACTGGACACAGACTGCCTATACGAGGATGTTGTGAATTGCTAATAAGAGATGATAATTCCTCATACATACCATGTGAATTCTTAGTTAGCGAAACGGGACTGTCAATACTGGGCTTAAAGTGGAGTTGTCTCTCCTAGTTTCTAAAGAAAATTCTGATGCTTTACTTAAAGATTCGATAGCCACGTGTGCTAAGTGCAATGGAAGTATGAAAATGGTTCAGCACGGGAGTGCCAAGCAAATTCAACATGTTGACTACATTTCTCGACAGTCATTAAATGCAGATATTTGTCGTACAGCGAAGAATTGCGAAAAGTGTCATAAGCTGAAAAATCAGCATTCGAGGTTGAGTGATTCTATTGCCGCCTCAACATTTAATGAGCTGGAGAGGGGAGTAGATACCTTTCTACTGCAATATAGAAATGCCAGACATTCAGTGACGAAAGAGACTCCATCAAAACTATTAAAAGGAAGAATTCTTCGGTCGAATATGAGATGTTTGGAGTCTGCAGAAGTTACATATTATCGTGGCAATGAACTTCGACCATCCACGGGGATCGTTCAGAAGAATGTCGGGAAATCTATGGTGCGACTTTTAGATATCAATGACTTAAGTACACACAATCGACATGTTGATCAAATACAATTCCAAGAGCCAGGTGAGTCTGTTCCAATTCCGGTTGTTAATTCTAATACTAATGAGAGCATTCAAGATAATACAGAGCCTTTATCCAATACACTGTCGGACAGACACAGGATGAATTTGAAAAGAAGATGTACAACTGATTACAGACATATACATTCCAATTTAAGCGGTGGCGGATGTGGTGTTTGAATGAACTAGTAACTTCTTGTTGTTGTGAAATGCTTGATTTCGAATTCTAAATACAATACATTCGTTTGTGCATATCTTAATTCTTGATACATATACTTCTAAATACCACAGCTTGCTTTGTGACGCAGTTGGATTCCTTCCCCAAAGTGTATCTTATCCACCAGTAGTGCTTTTTTCTAATAAGCTCCTCAGCTTCAATCTGCTTTGTTCTCCTCCACAGAAGGTTGTTCCTGGTGTCTGGTGTATACAGAGTACCTTGAGTAGGTAACTGTTAATAAATGCCTGTATCTTATGAACTATGGTTTTGGTAATGCTTTACTGTTATCTGTTTTCTTCAATGGGTTATCGCAACAGTGATCAGCAGGTTCGCGCTTGAAGAGGAAAGATCTGGTATCGCTTGAAAATTTGGATATTCGCTGATGGCAGTATCATAATAAATAATATACTGTGTAGAATCTATTTTGAAGGTTTTGTTTTTTGGAAAATCCCTCCATGTATATATATTTGTGTTATGATATGACTGACTCTTTCTGTTTGATATTTTCGTACTTTATTTGATTCCATTTTGAGATTTTATCATTGTATATTGTTATTATTTCTATATCTTGTACTTATATTGAACTTTTTATGTTTCCTTCTGAACTGCATATATGTTCTTTAAATTTGATATTTAATATGACTACATCCATTTTTGGATTTGATACTCTAGTAGTAACGGACTGGAAGCACTTATTCTTCCAGAAACGGAACCCATTGTGGTAATTGGAAGCTCGAAGGTGTAATATCGTTTTGGTAATTGTCTGTATTTCCCTTAAACATTAAAATAGAACCGTTTTCTCCCAGAATTATCGTGTTTTTGGTCCTTGACTAGGTGAACGCCTATGAACCTACAATTTTCGAGCCAACTCAAAGAGATAGAGTATGACTAAGAATATATAGTCAGATAAGAATAAGACAGACATATGACAAGCGAAATAGATATGCACACACATGAATAAAAGCGACGAATGATTGACAAGGTCAAATGACAAGCGATACAAATCATGTGAGTTCATGGGAATATTACGAGATTAACATTAAAGCGAAAAGGATGAGTAAGTGCGTAAGCGTAAGCAATGCTCAGTCGTACAAGCTCATACAAAGCAGATAATCAAAAAATACCAATGGTACATATGAGTTGTTGCTATGCCAATAGCTTGGTTACATAAATTAATCAAAAGGCTTAATCAAATTAAATATGAACGAACTCAAGTTTATGTGGAGGCACTACAATAGCCCCCTTCCAACAAACAAAGATACGAAAGTGTCTGTGTTTGCGAAAAAAATCAAAATAGTCGGAATGCATCAAAAGTTACGGAAATTCAAGTTACCTTGTCCGAGTACGTTCGTAAGTTTGCATAGTAACGGAAGATCAAAAAAATATACGGTAAGCGTTTATTGGCAAAACAAAATCGATTTCGAATAGAATACATGAGGAACAGTTGTACGATACGAAAATGTAATACAAATGCTGCAAAATATTGAAAATCGTTTAGGCATGACAGTTAAGACGGAATTCGATAATCGCATAGACATTACGGTAAGGCTCATCGATAAATCAAGTGGCTGCAGACAGGTGAAGAAATTGCGATCGAGATTATCGTGGAAAAAATTTGGAGAATAAAACTGCGTACCAATGCGATGCATAAACATTAGATGCATATCGAGAACATAAGTTACTACCATTGAGTATATGACTCCAAACTTATGTGTATGATAGCGTTGCAAACCGTTACCAGCGTTGGGGTAGTCGAAAAACATGCGAATAT